GAAGAGACTGACTAGCAAATCTAAGCTGCTTTTCTATAAATAAACATAAAACAATACTAGTATTGTATCATTCAACAAAACTGCATCCAATTCAATTTGGGCGTATACCAGGGACAGGAAAGCACAACACTGGTGTCTACAGATGCATTTTCGTTACCGATTTCTTTTTTCCACTTCAGCCACCAGCTCATCTGTTGAGAACTGGCCTCTAACCACCATGATCAAATTCTTAATGACATCTTCAGAACAATCCACATCAAGAAGCCCTCCAACCACTGCTGGTATACGGCTAGGATTCACCTAGAATAAGCCACCATCATTAAAATTAGTTATTAGCATTACTAATAACCCACCCCCAGTCTTTCACACGGGGAAGTTCTATTTAACAATTTAAACTATGCTTTAGAGCAGTGAGTTTTAAGTTACTAACGCATTTGCATATGCATCCTAGGAAAAACTAAACTTGTAGGTTTGTCATAGACAAAGGCTGATTTAAGAGCCTCCACACTAGAAGTGTGAGCATAAGAGACATAGCAGATTCTGCTTTAGTCTACTGAAAGGTTAAGTTCCTTTAAGGAAGGAAAGAGCAAGAGCTAAAACCCAGACTCTCCTTACCTTTTGTACATAAATCTCTATATACTTCTGCAGGTTATTGCGATATAAGTAGAGCACCAGGTCATGAACAAAGTCAAATCGATCACAGACAATGATCAGAGGAAGCTGGTCTGTGAGTTTTGCCTCCTGTATTTTGTGGGAGAAGAAGAAAAAAGTAAACAACCACCATTTGCTGAAGCGTTTTCAGAGCAGGAAAGTCTGACCAAGTTCCCTTAGCACTAGAAGTCACAATACATTCAAATTTAAGACTGCCAAGCAGACAATTGACTTCAAAAGCAAGTTACCCACTATGAATACCATGCGGCCAGTCTATCAGTTGAGTTTTAAGTTTAGGCTCTTCATGAAGTGCCACATTAAGCCTACATCTCTAGCTTCAAAACAAATATCAATTCAGAAGATGCTTGCTGGGCCAAGAACTTAACATTGCAAAATGAAGCGATGTTAAAATCCCATTTTACCAGTCACAAAGCATGAAAAGTGCTGACTCCAGTTTTAATAAGCTTTGTCTAGTCAATATCCTTGAATACTTCAGCATGGTCTTTCCTTCTGCCAGCCTGGATTCACCTATTGCTAGGTGACAACACATTCATGAGATTGGTTGTATCATAGAGCCTAGTTTTAAAGAAAGGGTGAATTTGGGCTTGTTTTCCCAAGGTAGCCTAGAATGACCTATTATATGTGCGGAATAGGATCAGACTCCTATTCCAGCTACACAGTAGACTACTCGCAGCCATGCCAGCTAAACCTCAAGTTGGTATTTCCCAAGGCTGTAGTTCTACTGCTATGCAAAACATACAGAGAACTGCTCAATCCATTGGATAGAATATCTACCTTCAGAAAGTTCTTCACCCGTTCTGGGTTATAGCAGTTACTTTCACGGCAGATTCTTTCCACTTCCTTTATCTGACCAGTTTTGCAAGCTGCCTGGATGTACTTGAAGTGAACATCTGGATCCTGGCTGAAGTTTACAATGGAACCCAAGAAATAGAACAGTCCTAGGAAGAGTCACGTTTTTAACATAGTTAGAAGCATACACGAAGCAAGTGCAGACTGTTACGGGCTTTGGCTTGTGACTTAGTTTCTTAACTCTCTTGAGTAAAGATCAGAAAGAGAGACGAAACCTGAAAGATGGGGAAAAAAAATCCTTCTGCTTTTTCCTGCAGTTGAATGAAAGCTAGTCTCTCAGAAGGATTGAACTATCTAGAACAAAGCTACCACTAGAACTCACTGTGATAAATGCATCCTAAGGTCCAGCCATGTGACCTTAGCTACAATCCTTACTATTAGCTTCAGTCAAGTAGTGCTTCCAAGTAAGCTGCTTCCTTCTAATACTGTACCTTCATAGCTTTTGAAAGATTCAAAAAGCTCCACAAGAGACTGGGTACCAAGCTGCTCATGGTATTTAGAAGCAACCTGCACACAGAGCTGTAGGTTTTGCCTAATGTTGGCTGACAGCATGGCACGCAAACACTCCACAGAGTCTTCAACTGAGAGAGAGCCAAAGAAGTTCACAAGCCACTGCAAAGAGAAAGAAATTTTATTTAGTAACAGGATTTGACTGACTTCTAAAATGTGGCAACTAACCAGAGCTTCTACCCCAGCTACTAGAGAGAAGTCTCCCATGCACTAAGACCTAAGACTTTAAAAGAAACAGACTCACCATCTTTACAACTACAAAAATGCAGTTTGGAAGTAAGATTTGAAATGGTCACCTGAGAAAGTGAGGTCAGATCTAAGCCATTGAAAGTACAGATTATGGTTTAATCATTAACTGGACAAATGTTCTTGAATCACAGTTACATGTGCTACTTCGGTACCTACAAAACCATCTTATAGCAGCTGCAGGAATTTTAGCAGCTACAGCAGTACTAAAGAGTGTTCACTTTACTTAAGCTTTCACTTTCTTACTCTGTACAGCACACTTACCTCAGGATTCAAGAGGTGAGTATGAACGACAGCACGTTTAATATCATAGAGATCCGTGTAGTGTTCCAAAGCTCGCTGGAGCAAGCCTGCCTTTTCACACAACTGGGCAATATGAGCACGATCATAGTGTGTAAACATTTGGTTTCCAAGAATGGCATCTGCAACCTAGGAGGTTACATTTCACATTCAGACTGTCAGAGAATCACAGCAGCTCAGCCTAAAAGTTGTTGAAAAGTCACACCAGTGACTCATTAGTAGTCTTTGATGTTGCTAAACTACTTACAGATATCAGTATCAGACATCATATTCTTGAGCAAGTCTACCACTGTTTCTCCTTCACTTTTTGGAGAAACGAGGTTAAGAGGTCTTACCTGTGGGGCGTGAATCAAATTCATTTCCAGGAGACGAGTCTGAAGGTGACCTTCTGCAGGGCGGTTATTTTTCAGGGCATCCAACAGAAAGGACGTGCACTGCTGAATAAGACTGTTCTCCATGAACACATCTACAATCTGTGGAGATTGGTCAAGTTAGAGAAGGGGTCTATATACACGTATGCCCATTTATCTGTATGTGCTAATGGCCTGTCTAGAAAGGCAGCTCATCACATCACCTAGCATGCTATATTCCCTTTGTTTTCAAAGGATTATTAACATGGTAATAGACAAGTTTCACACTTTTTCTTCTTCTCTAGAATGTAAGAAACATTACTTTGAGCTATTATGCCAGATTTTGCCACCAACTCTATTTAGTTTTAACACTGCATGCGAATCCTTTCCCCTCCCTTTTGTCAGGATAGTTGCTAAGACTTTTTCTAAGTAGCTTCAATTATTTAATAATGCACGTTGTTGCCTCATTTCTCTGTCCATTTAACCAGAAGTAGCCACTGGCAGCCAGCACTCAACTTAGGTTTATCTGTTCATCTTCCCATAAATTCTCTGCGTTGGAAGAGTTAATGTATATTCCATTAAAGCCAACAGTAGGACAGTAACACTCTATTGCTTAGACTAAGACTGTGGCAGATTCACTATCAATATTACAGTACTAAGCCAGAAAGCTTCCACGAGAACTTGAGAGCACACTTGCCTCTAAAGACTTGATGGTAACCAAACGACTAGAATACTTTAGTCACTTTTCTAACCAAGCCAGCTACAGACCTGAACTGGCCTTACCAGTCCCCAAAATGGTACTATGCTATTACCTCTGCCTAGGCAGAGACCAGTACTGTTGTTGTAGGCATCACCTGGTTAATGTTAGCCAGTGGCTCCTCATCCTGTACCAGCATCTGAGAGAACTGCAGGCCTTGCTCTGGATTGACTCTCATCACACTTCTCAGTAAGAAGATCCAGTCTGGGGTATAGCCAACCTGGAGATTTCAGAAACAGTCATGTATGTCTGGGAAGCTTTACACATCTTCTAAGCCTTCAGATTCTTTAGCATAGGTACTATGGACTGCTGTGAGGTTGCCACGCCCATCCCCCATCTTACAGAAATTCTCAGACAAAAGCATTGCTTGTCTGTTAACACAGAAATTCATCATTCACCCACTTAGTAACTGAACTTGCACCAGGGCGTTTCTCTGGCTAGGTAAGAAAACTGCTAGGAACAAATCTTTCAACATTCTTAGGGCACTATCTATCAACCCAGGTCCTAAACTTACAAATGGACATCACGCAAATTGTTTTGCAACCTGTGAAAAAAACAAAAATTATGAATTTAGGAGGAATCTTATCTTTACTCTCTAGAATAACCTTGAGCCCATCCATTAATCTGATAGGTTTGTAAAATTCTGGGTGTTCCGAATTTAATTTTTTTGCAGACTGCTCTGACCTTAGTCATACACAATGATTTGCACTACAATGAAGAAAACACTGTTTCTCAATCTTACCTACTTATCAGTTTTAAGTAACAGAAATCAAACTTATCTCATGGAAGATAGCTTGAGAATGTACACATTAAACATAAGATAGTCTAGCAGTTTGTAACAAACAACTATACCTTTTTAGCATACAGCACTATTTTCTGGAATTGACCAGTTTCAGCAAAGCACTGAATCACTTTGTTTGGCACATTAGCACGAAGATAGACACTGAGCGCAAGGGTTGGGTCAGCTGTCTTCACCAAGTCTCCCAGCTCCTCTGAGCACTCCAGCTGAAATCAGAAGTGGTATTTTGTCAAGCAGAAGAATTCAGAGATGTAGTATCAACAAAAGTATTGTTCACACTCAATTGTTACAAGGCAACAGAATTAAGCTAATGTCACGACCGAGCCTACCTTGTCTTCCTTCAGCCACTTCTCCAGAAGCTGCTTGCGGCCCTGCTGTAGGACAGGGCGACAGAGCTCCAGAGACTCAAACTTGTTCAGCTGTCCCTGGTCAAGCAATATTCCAAAGTACTGGAGCAGAGGAGAGGCCTGCCCAGGCTGAGCTGGTACGCTCTGGAACTTCCTGATTGTATCACTGGTACGTAGAATTCCCTAAAGAGACATAAGGGAGAGAGAAACAATGTTTAATCAGCGACGGCTGAACAGTGTTAGTCAAAAAACAGGTTTAAGCTATACACTGAAGCATCTACTCTTAAGCATTCAGGGTGGAGATCTTCATCAAACATTCTAGCGAGAAGTCAGCGGCCACAGCAAATGCAGTTGAAGAAGTATAGCAAATGCTCCTTTATGGGATACAGGAGAATATATTAGTCAGAACAAGTACCAAACTGCAGAGAATGAAGGCTAGTATTGCAGCTCTTTAGTTTTTGAATGTCAAGTACTGAAACGCAAGTGAGCTAAGCAAGTCCACTAAGCTAAGGCAAATCCCCATGACTTCTAAGCTTTACCTTTGGAGTTATTTACCTTTGGTGCAGATGCAGCTACTTTAGCAGCATCTGCATAACTTCCTTGAGCAAACAGTGTGTTGAACTTTCTGGCAAATAATTCCTCTGCCCCAGCTAGATTACTACGTATAGCCATACGCAGTCCCAAGTCAGGATTCTGGAGAACATTTGTAGCATAGTTCACTATGTTGTCTTCCTCAACACACACAGAAAGCACCTGGGAAGGACAAAAGGCATGTTGAAGAGTACTGTCCCTTCCACAACTACTGTGAAATATAGCAACCAAATGGCTATGCAGCCCATCAGTGAAGTAGTAGATTATGAACAAAACAAGTTCCTCCCCAAGATGTTCTGTACTAGGAGAGGTTAAAATTGACTAATCAAATAGTTACTTGCTCCCTTCCATGACATTTGTTGCATCAAGTTTGCATTAGGTTTCTTACATTCCATCTGAGCTTTAGAAGGCTCAAAACCAGAATGCTGGATTTGTTACCTGTCCTTTTTTGTTCACACCAATAATGCCCGAGGTAGGTTCGTGAGGAGCTGTGACAAAGATAGTATCAGCACTAATACGGTTCATGTAGATGCACACTCCAGACTCCAAGTCATACATGTGAATATATCCATACTTTGTGATAAGGTAGATAACACCATGCTTAATTCCAATCTGCCAAAAGATGAGGTTTTATTAGTCAAGAATAAGACTGTAACAGTTACGACAGCTGCCTTTAGCCTAGTCACAAGACAGCACTCCAGTGACATGCCTTTGCACTGACACTAAGAACAAATATAGTTTCAGACTTCTTCCTTACAGATTCAAAGGAATGAACAGGTTTGTTGGCCATTTGGAGCCACAGCTCCACTGAATAGAGAGGCTGAAGATGATTTAAAATTCATCTGCAGCAAAGGACATACTCCTCATCCTAATAAGTCAGGTTGAGGGAGAAAGTTTGGGCATAATTAGCATTCTAGTCTAGATACGTCAGTACAGGTTTCTATTCAGAAATATTAATGAGGTAATCCCACTCTCTTCCAACAAAGGCTGCCCAAAGCACCAGCAGAACCTAAACCAAGCACAGCAACTGAGTACTCCACTTTACCTGTCAAGTCACTTAGACTGGGGAGGCTTTCAAGTCAAAATGGCCTTCACACAAAGAAGTACTTTCACTTTGGAACAAGTCTTCAGATTAAGCCTCAAGGTGAAGTACAGAGCCATATGTAGACAGCTTGCTTTGTTTACCTTAGTTTAAGGCATCTCTTGGTTCATTTACGAAGCTAGTCTGTTAGACTGGTCAGTAGTTGCATGCTCTGAGATAGTTTGCTTTTATTACACAATTGCTAGTCCTGCAGACATGCTGAGTGGTTTGGCCTGTCAAGCCAACCAGCTATGTTCTTTCCTAAAGAACTTCCCTTTAATGTCCCAAATTGCCTTTTACGCGCTGCTACAGGACTCTCCTTTCCATTTGTCTCTTATAGTGACATTACTGTAGATGAAATGCCATTTTCATGTGAAGCTACATCAAGCACTATAACATTCTTATCTGGAACTCTGAACGTTAGTAGGAAGTTCAGTAGCCAAAGCGATGTCAGAGATATTATACTAGAAGACACTATTGAGGTTATTTTGGGGTCTGGTTTTGTGTTGGTTTTGGGAGGGGTCTTTGGTAGGGGTTTTGTTGGGGCTTTTTGTTTGTTTTCTTTTTTTTTTTTTTTTCAATACAACCTTAGGTTGACATACCTGGACAAATACTGGAACAGCCTATATGTTTGTGTTTGAGTTACTGTTTTAATGTCCAGGTTACTTCCCACAAATCTATTAACACCCCTCCCAGAACCAAAAGGAATGACAGCAAAGCCCTACTAGAAAGCATTCTTTACAACAGAGATGTAGGCTTGCCAGGCTACAAAGTTTCTTTTTGGGGGGTCAAATATTTACCTGCATTGCCACAGGAAAGTCTGTCTGTGCCTCAGGTGGGAAAAACACATCAACAGCTTTCTTAACAAATGGCTGATTTCCAGTAGCTGGCTGACCTACTTCAATTATGTGTAGCTACGAAGAAAAGAGTACATGTCACAAGATTGTCTGCAAGTACAGCCACATGAAAGAAGTTCCTCTCTTCAGATATGCTACTGAAGTCATCTGCCACCCTTGGCTGATGAATATCTGCACAATCCTGAACGAACAGAGTCTGGGGTGCTGTGCTACAGATATTTACCAGATGGACAAGTTTTCCAGAACTTGATAAAGTAAAACAGAAAAAGCTTAAAAAAAAATATATTAAACCATGCTTGCTACAAAACCAGACTGTATTTCTATTCAAGACAACTTGTTCAGGATGTTTTGAGTGAGACTTGTCAATTCATCAACAATTTGTGCAGGACAAGACTAGAAAGCTCTATACATTTTAGTGTTACCTCAGCTCTTTACAGGTTGCTCAGCAATTGTAGCATATTCAACTGCTACTGAATTCCACTATCAGTTTGATGCAAACAATATACCTAAGATTTATATAGCCTCTTTCTGTACTGGATTCAAGATGCAAGAGGCCGCTTAATGATTTAACTTCATACACACAAAACACCATGCGGGCATAAATTGATACTTTAACACCCTGAGCTCAGTTCTCATTGCATCTACATTTGTTCTTATGTCTAAGTTTCACCCAAGCAACTCAGGCTTTTGCAGTTTCTATCCTACTGAAAGACTGATGCTGACCAAATATGCTGCACACATGGTTTCCAAGCTGTTCTTCAGAGAGCATACGCTAAACTGTGTGACCACTGAAGTTCCATTAGTACCAAGTTCAGGAAAACAGCTGCAGACTTTACCTTGCCCCCTGCAGGACTCCTCACAGCAAAACAGAACAGCGTAGAAGGTTTGGCATTTCCCTCTATTTTGAATTCTGCAAAAGCTGCCGCATGGCCTTCTATAGGTTGGGAGACTTTTCTATCAACTGAGTACAGCTGCATTGCACCAACCACACGATTTTGCTAGAAAAAAGAAGAAAGGTCAGCTTTTAGAGATACAATTTCAAATGTTTATTGCAAGACCTTTGGGACAGTAAACTAAAAAGCAGCAAATGCCTCTCTTCCCTTCCTCCAATGCTTTAACCGCATTAAAAGTCAGGTTATTGCTAGACAAAAGATATTTTTGAATTCTTGATCTATAGAAACCAAAGTTAAGAAACTTTAGCAGCTATTAAGTGAAGTGGGGCAACAGTGCTCCCAATTGTTTTTGTAGCATGCTGTTTCCAGGTAACTTACCTGTGCTGAAATTCCTATCAGCAGCAGCCATTTTTGGTGTTCATCTGTTCTGTAATTGATGATTTGGCAGCCCGCAAGACTAGCATGCCTGTCAAACATTTTTTGGGGTTGCGATTCTCCCTCCATGCTCCAGTGGTAGACTGCTGTCTCTGTCACCAAGGCAACTGTATTCACAGATATCCATTTCCAGAAGATCACTTCCTCTGCCATTGTGTGGGCTTTCATTTTACTTTTCATCTCAATGTTAAAGATCTGAAGTGTTTTCCCAGCTAGTATGACAAAACCCAAGAAACATCACAGATAGATTACCACAATCGCCATCCTGTAGTCTGCCTATTCACAAGCAGCCTGTTTAACCCACTGTTCCAGTGACATTACAGACAGGGTTAGTATCCTGTCACATCTGAATCTCCTTTGATAGCTGATGCTTATCAAATAGAATCCCCTCCCCACCCCCAACACCGCTACCATCCTTGAAGCAAAAAAGCCTACTTCCTACGGACACTTACATGGACATTCCAACAACCAACAAGCACAGACATTTTAATTAACTATAAGCTGTAGTTAAAAGATAGTCTAAGCTACAGAGCTTGTGTAAACTCTGGTTTAGGTAGCAGCACCGGTATACCAAGCTATAGGTGTCTAGTAGATGTCATTAAGTATGATTAATAGAAAGAATGGCTCCAGTTTGTGTCCATTTAGTAGCTGCTGTAGATCACCTGGACTGAGTCCAACAGCACGAGACTTGCAACAGCTCTTTACAGCCAAAGACCATAGCTTCCATTCTATTTTTTCTGTTGAAGAAACTGTGCACTGAACTAGGAGATGGATGAGCTCTGTACAACAGTAATACAACAAGTGCCTACTGAAGAGGCCAGTCAAAAGTTCGGAAAGATTATTATAGAAAGGTTTGGAGCTTTAGTTCCAGTTAAGGTTACTGCTTCATGATTTAGTTAACCATATTGCAGGTTTAAGCTAGATTTTAGTATTCCTTTAGCTACCAGAAGCAGCTCGTAAGGCTAAACTTAAAACTAATGTTAACTGAACTAACCTATAAAGAATAAGGAACTCTATTCCTTTCAGGAAGTCAAAGTGACATTTTGCTTTACTACAGATGAGACGACTCAGCTCCAGGAATATTGTTTTCTGTTCACAAGACACCCACTCAGACTGCTAGAGTATTGGCTTGTAATGCCGTTATTTCTATCCTCATTTTAGAAGTGTTTTCCCTGCTAGTAACACATCTGACTGTCAAACTGGTAGATGTTCCTTCTACTGGGAAGTTTTGATTGATGAAGGCTGCTGGGCACTGAGGATTCATTTTCAAGAGATACTAACCCTAAGTTAATATGCAACTCAGACCGCTCTATAATGTTTTAGCATCATTTATACAGTAAATTGATCGTATTAGTTTAATGCAGTGCCAAGAGACAACTCCCTAGATTAACTGCATAAAGAACTGTTAACCTGATCAACTAGTGTCCAGGACAGCTTGCTAGCTTCCCTGGGACCAAAACCAGCCTATTTCTGATGACCTTGCTCTGCACGCACGGTTACTGTCTTGTACAAATCCAATAAGCCCAAGCATAGCATCAACTGTAAACGGATAATTGGAAACAGCATATTTGCTATATTGGACAACAATTTGTCCAGCAGTGGAGTGGTGCTATCAAGAAATTGATTTTTGGAACTTCCACAGTGTGCAGCCTCACATGCAGAAGGCAGACAAGTAGTCGTGGAAGGGCTCTAGTCACCATCTAAACAGGAATACCAGTAAGCGCATATAGAAACTGCTCTCAAAGTCAGTCTTCCTGAAAAGGAAACTGGACGTCCTTCTTAGTTTTAAGAATGTAGAAGAAACAAACAAGCTATTAAAATGAGTTAAAAGCTCACGCTTGTCTATCTTCTAGGCTAAATTTGACTGCTGTATTACAGTTGGAAATGGCTTTAGAAGCTTCATCAGGCAGCTAGCTCAATGTTGGGTGCCACAGCAATACAATTCAGGTGTGGCAACATAAATTCAAACTTCAGAACTCTAAACTACAAAAAAAAACCCCATTATTTGGATTAAGAGAGGAGAACCTGCTATAAAGGCACAGTGAGGGCAAGTGTGAGTTTGAGTCTTATGTCTACTTGAACACTTTCTTAGGCCAAGATCTGAGACAAAAAGCCAGACTCTTATATAAGTTTTTCTGATCAAGCTACCAGACTGATCAGTCTACTTAGACTATTCTCTACAGGTATAGACAAGTAAGCAGATTCATTTTTTGAACACTGGCATGAGAATTTACATTTCAGTTCACTGGAGCACAAAGTTTCTCCATTCTACAAAGAATGGAAGCACCCCCGAGTACTGCATTCTCCACTGAGATCAACTGGGGAGTACTCTCAATACAGAGCAAAGCAAGAGAATCATGAACACAAGGACAAAGCATAAATCTTGGTACACCAGGAAAATGCCACATGCAATCCAGAAATGAAATTGTGCATACTGTATTTCAGTTTAAAATCAAGAATCATTTCATTTCTTTTTCTGAGGGTAGGTTTGTATGTTTATTGCTCAATAATCCTCAGATTATGAGCAACTCTCAATCATGGCACACCGAGTCACAATATGCAACAATTCTGACTACTGAAGCCTCAGGCAATCAGCAGGGAAAGTCTGGAGTGACAGACTGACTTAAACCATATCTTCAGTGCAGTTCACTGTAGTTCTGCTGTTTATCGTGGGTAACAACATATTGGTTAGGTAGCTCTGTTCATCCTCTTTTCTACCCAACCCTTTAGTCATTAAATTATTGATAGAAGAAGTCATCATTAAGTTTGCAACACCTGACAACACAACTTTGCATGTCAATGTGACATCACTCACCCAACCTTATCTCTTCAGAGAACAAGCTCATTCACTCTGTGTGGGCAGAACTATACTCCTTTTGAGCAAGTCTTAACACTGGCAAGAATAAAGCTATATTCTTTGAAGCTGATAATAATCCATTTAGTTAGAAGGTTAGTTTTAAAACCCAATTATGTAGTTTTCTTTTAAGAACTGGATGAAGCTCTGCTAGTGTAGAGAAGGCACTTTCCTTGCCAATATGGTTTGTTTAAAGGGGTCCAAGATTAAGGACAGTGAACTCTCAAGAGGTTTGAAATCATTTTTTCATTGTTGTCTTTACCCACATCCCAGGTAAAGCAGTCCTTTACAAGATGTATAAGCATCTTAGCTGAATCACAGATTCAGCTGAAGTCAGACATTAACACATTAGTTTTCCCCTAGTGTCAGTATAAACCAGAGATCAAAGACAAGAAGTTACAGTTTTTCTACCAGTTCTAAGGACAGTTACTTCTTGGACCCCTAAGTAATTTCACCATGATCTTTGACAATAAAAAACACACTTAGGCAGAAATGAATAGCACACAAGACATGCTAGTAGAGGTCTCTCATAAAAATATTGCAACTTGGTTTTGCCTATCAACTGTACTTGCACCATATATACACGCACACAGACATTACAAGCATACTCTTCTCCTTCACTTGGTACAGTCAATAGCCAAAGCAGCCAAATGTTTAGCAACAAGCCAATGGAGAATGTTTTCACTATAATACCAGCTGAGGATTAAGATCCCCCACCTGGCTATGAAGTGAACTGTCAAATGGCCACCTTAAAGTTCAGTACTTTTTATGAGATTAGACCATTCTGTACTACAGAACATGAAATGTCATGATAAAGTTCACTCACCATCTGTTTAGATAAGATGCAGGAAGAAAAGTACATCGTCAGTAACAGTTATTGAGATTCAATACCAGAAGTCAGTCATTTAAGAAAAGCACCAGGGATGTATTAAAAAATATTTTTTTGAGCTCAGAGTGCTACGTAAAGGCAGTATCAACACCACAGGTACTGGTAAGCAGAGGTGTTCTATGCGCAAGCTCTCATGATGGCCAAACTTAACATGCTTGTACATTCAGACTTTCACAGTTACTAGCCATCCTTACGACATTTTGTTGGTATCTAGTAAGCTCTTCAGAGCTACAAGAAAGAGCCAGGACACAGAAGAAAGCAAGAACGGCTTTACACTCCTATTCACCTTTACAAGTGTCCATTACATTTACAACACCTGTTTAATGGGAAAGTATACCATATGTTGACCTGGTCCTCAGTGAGAATAGGAGGCTGCAGTGCCAAGCCCAAGCATCTCACACCTACTTGGAGGCAAATCATCCAAAGATTACTGAAAAATCCACAGCCAAAAATACAGCATGCAAGTTCAGGCAAGAATTCTTATCCTCATATACCTCACATACATCCTTCTTAGAAAGTTTACATAAATTTTAAGCTTAAGACCATACGTAAGCAGTAATACAGCTAAACAGTAGGTTTCATACTGCAATAATAAAGGGTTACTCACCTTTTAGGGCAATTACTTTAGAGGCTGGATTCATGATGGCACTTTCGGCAGAAATTGGACGTCTGATGGGTGTTGTTGGATCGCTCATGTCAATTATTACTACTTGTGCCTGCTCTCCCACTTTCTCCCTGATGCAGATGAATTTGTCAGATTCCATTGTTAGGGTACTGAATCCAATGTTTGCCGGGTTAATCCCCAAATTTTGGAGCTAGAAAGATAGAAGAGAGCTTTTTATTATCCTTCCCATGTTGAAGGTCTAACTCAAGACTTAGAATGTCTAAAGTCTCTTCCAGAAGGAAACGCAAGACTGATATATTTCTCTGACAAGAGTATATATTATGGAACTATGACCAATCTTCTGATTCTCTTTGTTCCATAGGTAAAGAACTACATTTCCAGTATTCAAGTCCTAAAGCTATTCCAAAGTTGTGTTATTGATGCAAATTAAAAGGAGCTTTAACTTAAGCGTTTATAGCTTAACCTGGTCCTAGTAATGTGACAGGCTGTATACTATCAGTAGCATCACTATTCCAGATTTAGCAAAGCTGTTAATTTGGTATTAAAAACTTATAAAGTGGCAGAACTACAAGGTACAGCAGCAGTGTGTCTTACAGCAAGAACCAATTACCCCTATGCAACCCACTCCTAGCAACATTATGGAATGAAGTGTACACAGCAGGTCTCAAATGGCCTATTTTTACAAGTGTACCTGTTCATCTTGCTTCTTAGAATCTAATTCTTACCAGTGAAAGCAAAGAAAGATGTGTTAAAATAATCAGTCGTTCCATCTCTCCTTGCCCAAGATGTCATGCCATTTGGCTCAACAACAAAGGCAGGGATTTCAACGCAGGCCCCCTCCAGCCTTATGTCCAACTCGCAAAACATAGCTTGTCCTCAATCATATGGCAGTGGGTACAAAGCATTTACTCTTAATGTAACTTCAAGTCATTTTGTGCCACTGAATAGACTGCCCTAGAAGATGGCTATTTCTCGTTTTCATCCTTGTGTTAACTTTGTTTCCATTCTGTTCCACCAATTTCAGGCTAACAGGAGCAGGTGGCCGTGAATGAGTATCACTGTTTCAATTGGTCCGCAGTACACCAAATTTACCTACCCAGCACACCCCAGCTTGGTATGTATGCAAGCTGCATTTTATATAACAGTTAACTGTGTCAGGCCTGAGCACCTGCTTTATGCCCCAGAGCAATGCTTTTCAAACAGAGGAACAGTATCAGCTTCACCGAAGCTTCTTAAGGGATTAACCAACACTGCTTTTCAGTGCCCTGCAAGTGAAAAATGACTGCCCTCAAGGAGACAGCATAGAAACTACCACCAGCATCACGGAGTCATTGGACTCCTCTGATACATACCACCAGGACCTTCATACGATAGACTAGAACTCCTGGGCAACAAGTCCCATGATGGTGCCACAAACACTGTTTTAGTGTGTTTTGATCTAGTTAATCATGGCTTGTTACAGCTTCGATAAAGCTACTCACTAAATCATAGATTGGGTATGTAACGAAAATACCTAGAAGAGTCGTGTGTCAGGACTGTGCCCAAGAATGCCTCAGGAATTGTTTGGTTTCTGTTTAGCTTACTAATGAAGAGCTACTCAACTCAGTAACTGCTAATCTCAACGTACTCAAGCTTCAGTAATGCAATACAAGCCAAATAAATGCACTTGTAAAAAGATGTTTACTCCCTCCCACAAGTGTCTCTCAGCAAAATTGACACCATTCAGCTAACACCTCACTTTATAGGTAAATAATTCAATACACTCTAGTAAATTTCCATAGGTGCCATTCATTCCAAAAGAGAACCATAAGAAGCTGCTTGCAACCAGAGTTTTGAAAACAAGTCCACTGGGCATGCGGCTATTAGAGGCTTCTGTGTCCGTAAGGAAAGAAGTTTCCATATCCAAGACAACTCATGCAGTTTTCATATGTAATTCAGAAAGTTTTAGTATGAATAAACCTGCAAGTTGCAGCTCCAACAACTTCTGTGACCTTGAACAACAGAGGAATAAATGGTGGGCCCTTAATTCCATTGTTCTTGGTCACATGCTCTAGACCAGACAATGTCCACTTGTAGAGACAAATGACATGTTCACATAGTAGACACTGAGCACTTTACTGTTGAGCATGATTCGAGTCCATCTACCAAGAGACTAAGTGCCACAAGAGTGGTCAAGAGATTTAACTGCAGCATAGCAAAGTTCCTAACTTGATTTAATTAATCCAAACTCAGATGTATTTCCAGAACACTGAAGCAGAAACACAGCCTGTTCAAAGTCTCTTCTCAATCACTGTGCTTCAGCTTGACCTACTCTTCAAGAAACAGCACCTGGCCACTCATTCTGCATGGTAAGAATCTGGAGGCATTAGCCTACTTGAAGTTCAGCTCTAAGCCCAAGGTTATTCACTGCAAAATCAGATCCATGTTGACGAATAACACTTTCGGTATCTTTACTAAGATACACAAGATTTGGCATCAACTTCTGGTATTAAGATTTCCCATTTAAACTGTTATAAAATCTAGCAAAGCTTTCAGAAAATGTAATGCTAAATCATGCAGGAGTATCATTGTCATCGTTATTATTAGGGAAGTCAGTCACATCTTTTAAAGGCAAAATGTCCTAAAGAATGGTCATGTGAATACTGCAAGCGTCAGTGAATGATGACAAAGCTTCACATTTTAGCAGTCTGAAAACACTGAAGACTGTTCCTGCCATCAGGGGAGTGATTAAGTATCCTCATCAGATCGTATGTGCTCTTGTAACATAGAAGCAGTGTAAGAGGCATATTCCTTATAACTATACATAAGAACATGAGCAGAATCCTTTTACCACCAAACAAATGGACAATAGCCAGCATCGCTTCTATCCTGTATGGGACAAACCTGCCAGGACAATCTGGACTATGTTGTTCTAAAGCACCTTCCCCCTTTCCTCAAGCACAAAATTAAGAAAGCTTTATTAGAGGAGGTAGCAAACATTTAGCTATATATCTTAAAAGGCTTCAGGTGAAGGTACTACAGGTCATTACTGAAGTTTGTATATATTAACTGGAGATTTTGCAGTTTATTTTCATAAAGGAGTAAACATCAGGCCTCTCAATTGCTACTAAATTTTCATTTTTTAATTATGCTTCCTATGCAAGCAGTAATCTCAAACTAAGGTTGCCATCTTCTGAAAAGAAGGATTCAATATTACAAAGTCATTGCAGATGCATTTAATATGGGGATAGCCTCCTTCCATGATTTTACCCCACACTTTACTTTTGGGTAATCCAGTTAAACCCTACCAAGCACCCCCATGTAGCTTACTGTAAGCCTCACTGTAGAGGAACAGACAACATTCTGTTTTATAAGTAACGGCTTAATGCCTCCCCTATCCTTTCACACCCTAATGCCCATTATCTACATGTACAGTGTAGAACTATCTTCACTATCAGGCTGAATGAACCAGATAACAAAGATTTTTACTTCACAGATATCTAATATTACTGCAGGCTAGATACCGAACTTATTTTTAAGCATCTTATAGATATTAAAACTTATTGACATGGTAAAGATTAATCCGAGATGTATTATCTGATTCTCAACCTGAATGAAGACACACAAGTCCTATGCATAGGATGAAATACAACTATTAATATGAGATTTAGTCTTTCCCCATTCTACTTTACCAACATGGTACCATTTGCTAAGACATGGAGTCGAGATGTTTTTACGCGCAAGTTCTACTAAATATTGGGCTTTCTAATGCATTTCCCTTTCTGTGGAGTGCAGTGATCCAGACTGAGCCAGCATGGATCAAGTCAGACACTGATGCTACCAGTCTTCAAACTAAGTCCATTTCTCTAATGGGAAATACTTAAGCCTAACTTACTGCCTGTTCAATACTGACACTCCAATACTTGGGACATACCACCAGTTAAATGCTGAAGTCAGAAGAACTCAGTGAAGTTAAGATCCCTCCAGGATTCAGTAAATATCCTATTTCAACTTTATGCCACACAGCTCTAGTGGAAATGCTTTTTAGAGGCGATCAACTATTGTTTTTTAAGCCCACTAGAAAAGAGTAAGGCTTGGACAGAGGCTGCAAGAATCCAAATATTAAAAACCACCTGCTAAAAGACCTGTAAGCATGTATCATATTAAGCATAATACAAACAAAGAATGCAGTAATACAGTTTCTCAGCACTCTTTTACTCATGTAAATGTATAAAGTTATAATCATGCTCAATAAGGATCTGCATGTAGTTGCTGGATATCCCCTCTCAATTGCCCATCTGCCCCTCATCTCTTGCTATACTTTCCATCTTGACAGGTGAGGGATGTCAAGGAAGTATACAAGAGCTGAAACATGCAAGACCACTGGCTTACAGGTTTTAGTTGCAGTTGCAATTAGGATTTCATCTTAAATGACAGTTACTCCCTACACAAAAATTTGTTCTTGTATGTCAGTGATGAGAATTAGATCATCTATTGAATGAGTCTCTCTACCACACGTAGGCCACTTTTCAATTCAGTGAGCAAATATGGTCTCTTCAATGCTAAATAGCTGAATCAAAACATGATACTTAGGCCTACCTTTTGAATACAAATCCAAAAAGTCATTTACAGGTTGCAAATATCCTGAGTGCCTTTAAGTCCACATGTCTAGCCAAAGCAAACTCATGAAAGCCATTACACTTCAGCTCAGTCATGCCTATTACACAACAGATAGCAATTCTTAACATGACATCTCAGACCATCCAAACAGAAAGTGGTTTTGTCCAGAAAATGGCAGCAGTAAATCTGCATTCTTTACGTTTAAAACCAGGATACCATAGCTTTTCGGTGCTGCACTGAGATGCATAAAACTTATGCATCAAGAGCATGTCATGCACACAAGTTTCTTCTCATTAGTTGGCTGTGCTCAAGAGCCTGTATTAGTTATTCAATAGAAGGCAGAATCCTGCCTACAGACCGATGTGTCTATCCATCTAAGGGAGGAAGCCCCCAACCTAGGAACCTGAGACTTTGTGTAAAAAGTAACAGCCTTCTCTGCAGGCAAGCAGAGATTTTTTGCTAGTGAAAACTGAAAAAAAACCTCAAAAGGGGATAAAGACAAGCTTTCAAGAGCAAACCAATGACTAAGTAAAGGAGAAGTTTAATTTTAGATCAAGAACACTTTGTACACTGAATTCCAGTAGC